AGCCTCTGAGAGAGGTTGCCGCCACAGCAACTGAAGCCAGAGCCCTGCCACAGCCCTGGTCTTCAGGCCTGTGCGGCCCGCACCCCAGCGCAGAGCCTGAGATCGAATCCCAGATCCCTTGACTTCCAAGGCCCTTGGCTTCCCCAGGTAAAGCGCCGGTCCCTTTAAGAGCTAACTACCAGGACACGTCTACCAACATCGCGCGAGGAAGAAGGGGAAGTTTACCGCGGTCCGCGCCTCCCCGCCTCTCCGCTGCAGCCTGGCCGAAACCAAACTGAGGGGTGGGTGGCGTGTCGAGGAGGCGCCGTGGGCTTTAGTGGGACGGGCTTGAACCTGCTCTGTTTCAGAATGCACGGCTTAGCGAAGGGGTCCAGGCTCCCCCCGCAGGCAGCGTGAGCGCACGAGGCCTGTGGGATCCCGTGCCCGCGGCTCCCCCCCGCAGCCGTCTCGCAGTGGTCTGCTCCGTCGCCGGGTGCAGGTTCGGGTTCCGGACCGAACGCCGAGTGTCCGCCGCCTCTTTTGGCGTGTCTGGGCAGGCCGTCGTTGCGGCGGCAACAGCCAAAGCAACGTTGGCGTGATGGAGGGGCCCAGGGCTGCCCCTCAGCGGTACTGGAGGCTGGTCCTAGAAGAAGTACGCAGGGTGAGTCGGCGCCACCGGGGTTACGTGGCCCTGGCGTAGCGGGGCCGCCAGTGAGCGCAGCCCCTGACTTTGGCGTTGGGGTTAGCGCCTCGCTTGTCAGGGGTTCTGAAGCCAGATCTATCCTGCCGCCGGCGGTAGTCAGGTCAGGGTGCTTGGAAGGGTTTTGTGTAGTAGCAGGGGACCTGGAGATCAGGAAGGTGACGAACGCATTCGCCCTGCTGGACTTTGCAAAGGGGTAGTTACCGTTAACCCCTACTCCCCAAATGAATTAGCTGTTTCGTTTTGTTATTTGTTTTGAATAGGGATTATTGACACGTGATTCTTCCGACTGTGAGAACCTTGGGGAACGATCCTCTGAAATGAGTTTTATATTTAGTGATGAAACTTCTCGTTGTCTTGCGCGGGAGTTGGGATTCTAATTCTGCGGTTTTTCAATATAGAATGCCCGTTTGAGGTGCTTTGCCATAAAGCGAGATTGTTTTTTGCTTGTCTGTGTCTTAACGTAAAAGGTCTAGGCATAGTAAATTCTCAGTTAAAATTCACTTTTTTTCAGGTTCACTTTGTAATCAGGTTGCAGAGATTTTTCTCCTTAAGTGTCCGTAAGTGTTTTTGTTGTCATGTTCAGGAGCATTTATGTCGCTCTGTTTCAAAAAAACTGCATTACGTTTTATATATATATACATATATATATATATATATATATATATATATATGTATATATATATGTGTATATATATATATATATTTATTGTAGTTGGATACAATACCTTTATTTTTATTTATTTTTATGTGATGCTGAGGATCGAACCTAGGCATGTGCTAGGCAAGTGCTAGGCATGTGCTAGGCAAGCGCTCAACCCTGAGCCAAAACCCCAGCCCCTTAAAAAAGACAAAAGTCTTTTAAAAAATAAAATCTTGAGGCAATTATGATTGTTTTCTTCCTATGTGAATTAAAAGTATTGTTGCCATGCTTTTCGTTCATTTATTCAACCTTAGTGTATCTAGCATACACTCATGAATGACAAGGTCAGCTCTATGGAGGTTCTAAATGGACTAATACTTCTGGTCCTTAGCAACATACTGTCTGTTAAAGGAGAGAAGACAAAAAAATTAGTCCAAAGTAGAAACTGATGAAGTGCTTACTGAAGCGTACATACAAAGTGAGGGGTTGGAAAGATAACATTTTCTTAATTGGTTAGTAAAGTCTTTCCAGGCTGTGCAAATAGTTAAAGTAGAGGAGGCATAAAACAGCCAGGTGTGTGCAGAGAAGTAGGACCTGTATTACTTAGAGTATAAAGTGGACTCAGGGCATGATGTGCAATGATGCTTACTGAAAATAAGTAGGTTCCAAGTGCTACTGTAAGGTGCTGGAGAGCTGTTGAGGGCTTTTCAGTGTTTCGACTTTACATAGCTTCCTGATAGTAGCATGTAGGTTAGATGTCAGTGAAACAAAACTCAAAACAGGCTTTAAGGGAGAAGTGACAATGGTAGGGATAAGAGAACAGGGTACTGAATGTGGAGATATTTAGAAGCTAAAAGTTAAAATGGTTATGGATTATATGGTTACTAATTAGATTTGATTGTAGATGGAAAGAGAGAAGAAACCTAAAATGACTCCTAGGTTTTTGGCTATGGCAGTTTAACTCATTTACTAAGATGGGGTTTATAAGGAAGTTTTGGAGGAGAGATAATTTTCAGATTGTACATATTTCTCTTTCTTCACTAAGAACAACAATAATCAATACTTTTTTTTTTTTTTTTTTTT